AAGTTTTTACACACAAGTTTTTACACGCTATTTTTACAGGCTTTTTTTTTTTTTTCTATCCCACTTGACAGTAAAACATAAATGATTAAAATAAATTAGACAGTCATCAAAGACTTTTTTTCGACCAAACTGAACCTGGATGAAAGTTCAGCTATCTATTTTTTTTAACCATTCCCTGTCTGAAAAGCTAACATGCCCACTTTGACACAAGAAAAGCCTTTCCAGCAACTGCAAATTTTCCATGCTCCTTTGACATGGTGCCACTCAGATGTGCCTTCTCAAACACAATGACTGATGGACTGAGGGGGTTTTGTATGATTTAATTTTTTTCCTACATACATCACATAACCAATGCTAAGCACATTGCTGTTTATTTTTTTTAGGATGATAACTTCTAAACCACTTTGCAGTATCATAAACTCTTGAGTCTGTTGGACTACACTTACTAACATTTTGCAAACTGTAAAAATCACTTATGTATCCACATGATGGACTTGCTAACGTGGATAGTAATTTTTTTCCACTTTTTTGCAAAGTTGGTGAATGTCTTCAATCTCTTTCCCCAACTATGCAAATAGACAAAAAGTAAAGATGACAGAAGATGAATAAAAGGAAAAAAAATAAAAAAGAAAAAATCATAACCAGGATTAGATGATTCCTACAATCATGTTATCAGGAAATAAGGCATTTTTCCTGAATCAACTGCCACTGTTCCCTGAAGATAAGTCAAGCTGAAATCTGGAGTCTTGTCACAAGGTGTGTCATAGATTTTTAGCCTCCTGGAGAGAAGTTGTGTTTCTGTCATTGTGATCTTCAGCACTTCACAGTCAAACAGTATTTCAAAAACTTTACTTTTAGATGATCAGCACATTTATTGACAACCTTGAACACAACATCTCCCCCTCAACCTTCTCCTTCTTATTCATCAGTGGTAAACCAAATTATATTCTCCAATATACTTGTATACTTGAGACAATGTAAATATTCAAACTTCTTTGAAAGTCTAATTAGTCTTTGTTATCGATGAAGATCATTAGAAAGAAACCATCCTGATTTGCAAGATTCATCCTGATGCTTTCTGTTTACAATAAACAGAAGGGATGGGAAGGGGGGGAGGGAAAAGAGTCTAAAGCATTTGAAAGTCAGAGTGATTTGATAACAATCAAATAACAACCCCTTGAACAAGAGCTGTCATGGCTAATTCTGTCTAGATGGATCTACAAACTAGCAGACCCTAAGTTTAATTCACAGACTATCTCTGGATACCATAAGCACAGGAGCAATTTGAGCTCACTGAAATGATGCAATTTTGGATTTGTTCTTATAGTAAATCCATTCTAATGGTGATTACAATGTACTTCAATTTAATATTAATTAAATTAGGAAAAAACCCATAGGAACCATGGTAGTTCAGAGAAGGAAACTGTATAAAAAAAGAGAAAGTCAGCTAGCATGAAATTAGCAACAGCTAGGAAGTCAAAATGTTTGCAAGACATACTGAGAATGAAGAATCCATGCTGTAACTTTAGGATAAAGTGTGTAATTGCTCAAATAATGCAGAGTAAATGTATACATTTAACAATAACAAATTGCTAGGTCTAGGCAGTATCCATTCAAAACCTCCATGGCAGCTCAAGTGTGACATTGTTGAACTTCTCACCAACACTTACCCTACCAATCAAAGCAGGCTTGTGCCAAACAAATTGGAAGCATTAGCTGGGATATCAGCCTTGAAAAACCCACAAAAACTGCTCTGGCTAACTACATTTCATTTAGTCTTATTTTTTTATCAAGCCAATTTCTACAAATTGGAATAAATAACAGAATACAGAAGCATCTGGATATGTATGGAGACTGGAGGAGAGTCTGCACAGATTTTTTAAAGCAGGGCATGCTCATGAATATATGAGTGTTTCTGAAGAAGCCAATATGCTTTTGGTTAAGCTGATTTCTTTAACTGAGAACATTTGGCTTTATAAGAAAACATGGAGTGAGAATAGAAAGAAAACAATGGGTTAGAAAATTCCGTTTTCGTTATGGAGTGAGACAGGAAACAATGGGAGGTTTGGCCCGATTTCTGTGGGGATAAGGCTATATAAATTAGGGCTTGTCAGCTGGGAAGAGAAGTATCTAAATTTTATATAGTCATGAATGACAAAGAGAAGCTGAATAGAGAATGATTAATCATTCTGTCTTTCTCAGAAAATCAGAACTAAGGGGCACCCAATCAAATTACTAAGCAGCAGATTTAAAGCAGATAATAAGAAGTAGTTTTTCTAACAATACATTATTAAATTGCAGCTCTAATTGCCACAGGGGGTTGTAGAGCCCTAGTGTTTAAATGGCTTAAAAATGGGTCTCAGCAAATGGAATATTATTACACATTAGTTGCTATCAAAATTAAATGATCCAGATGTCCTGATTCAATGACTTCTGAAACAGGGAAAATATCCCTCAATATTTTTCTTGTTTCTGAGATATCTTCCTTACAAAGCTACTATCAGCCCTTGCTAAAGGCAGAATACTGGATAGAAGGGACTTCTGCTGGCATGATAGTGGCTCTATTTTTATAAAACTAGTTTCACAGTCATTTTTCAGACTGGAACTGCACACTTTAAAATAATCTCACAAGACTTGGGAGTTTACTGTCCGTGCTCTGACCTTATTGTCACACATCTTTTGTATAGCCCAGACTGGATTACAGCAATTAATTCTTTACTGAAAGGCAGATCCAGCCTGCAGCTATTGCAGCATAAAGCAACAAGCTTATTACCAGCAAAGAGCAGATGGGATTTGCGGACTTCCTGCTTCTTTGTTCTCTGCATCGACGGCCTAGTGACTACACTGATTCAGAAATTCCTACCATAGAGTACTGTGTAAGTAGAATTCTATAGTAGATTTCTACTGATTTAGGGCATATAATTTCTCAAGTCCAGGAGTAACAGGATTCATGGGCACATCAGGATGTTTGGGGGTGGTGTTAGACACATTTTATCAATGTCTTAAAAAAAGAATGGAACCATCAAGCCTTCAGTGTGGTTTGTAAAGTGCTGATAAAGTTCTGGGTTTATCAAACTTACCATCTATTGCTGGCATACTGAATGGAACTCATTAACAATTTATTAGTAATGTCAATATTGAGAGGAGAGTAATTTATGTTTAAAAACCCAAACAATTAGGTTAACTATTTGAATTACTAAGATCTTCAAATCCTCTTTGCAGTATTCAAACTGACCAACCTGAAAACCATGGGACAGTGTATTCATCAACATACATTTTACCTGCCAGCACCTCTGTGTGAAGCTGTTATTAGTGGAATTATGTGTAAGTGAAATTACAAGTACACTTAAAATAGAGCAACAAATACAACACACTGAAATGCATTTTTACCCTTTACTAAATCCAGGAAACGCCTGAAAAAGACAGAGTCTCTCACACTGACTGTGAGCATGGTAGCTGAATTATGCACAACTTTAAGCTGCTTTCTACCCATACTACTGGGTATCGTAATTAAGAAGTCCCAGTCAAGGAGGAGCCAATCTCTGGACCGTCTTCTTGGTGATATGATGTCTGTGATCAATGCATCTGTCTGGAAAAGATGCATTTGTACCCATGCTATGGCACGATGCTGAGTCCTAAGCTTTTTCTCTTTGGCAACTGAGTTCTGAAATGAATGCCTGCAGCAACATTTGTGTAGGTGGCACAAACAGTAGAGGGCATTTGAAAATTTTCAACTGCTTGTACTGATAACTGAGGACAAGCATTCCCATGGTGACTCTTAAGATCCTGTGCTATGATGCTACATGCTCTGCCCTGTCTTCAAATGTGTCTCCTGATTCCAAACTGGTGTCTGCATCAATATATTCTTAGTGATGCAATATCCAGACCACACTGTCATGTTCCTGTTCTGACAACTGAGAATTTCAGATACCCATTTACTGGTTATTTTTGCTGGTCCACTAAAAGACTTTGCATCCTTAGTTCAAATAGTTCAAATTGAAAAAAAAAAAAATTCCTCCATTTTGAATACCTTTTGAGTATTTCACAGAATCATCAAGGTTGGAAGACACCTTCAAGATCATTTAGTCCAACCATCAACCTGGCACCACTATTATCACCCCTAAACCATATCCCAAACTGCCACATCCAGACACCTCTTGAATGCTTCCAGAGTCAGTGGTTTCACCACCTACATGGGAAACTTATTGCAGTGCTTAACTACTCTTTCAGTGGAAAAAAAAATGTTATGATCTACAACTGCATCTCTACTGCCTCGTTGCATCCTCCAGCACTGATATTATAATAAACGTCTTGGCTGTTTTTTTCATTGTACACTAGTGATGTATAGTAAACTCAATATTGCGTATGCTGCTAATTTATCTTTTTATATAATTTTGCAATCTTACTGGATTAACAATGCACTTCTAAGAATTAAGGCTAGTAGCATTATTAGTGATAACAAACTGAGAGATACACATTTTGCCTGGAACTAAACATGTCAATTCTTCTTTTACTTGTGGGAATAAAGATTACTGCTATCTGTAATAGTGGAAACTGGATTCTGTTTCTCATTCTAATAAAATGGCAGAATTGGGGCCAGGTTTTTACACTTTCAACATTTCCCTCCTTCTTTCTTCCAAATGGACAGAGAAGACACAACCAAAGTTTTGGGTTAAGTGCTATCTGGTTACACAGTAGTACACTGGGAGCTGTATTTATTCTCTCTCTCTTTACTCTGACAGAAGTTATATCACCTGGAAGTCAACGCTTTGTACTCCACTCTAGCTTCCTTTCTAGTCATTCTTATAGGACCGGTTGTTGTTATCTATACTGCAAGAGTGCTTGAAAGACTGACAAACAATAGTGCTGTTGTCCTGTGCACATGCAGAAGAAAGTTTCCAGATTATAAACAAAAGAGACAAAATTGTGACAGGCTGGATGATTTCAAAGTTGACTTATGCCCTGAACAGAGAATCAGTGTCTGTTTTTCCTTACACCAGAAACCTGAGACAGCAACAAAGCGGGATGAAGGCAGCAGTGGCTGACAGCGCTACTGCTGTGCCGAAAGATGATGTTCAAGAACGTGGTAGTGACTGACCAATAGCTATTTTTAGTGGGTAGCTGAGCAACTTACAACCCTCAGACTCACAGAATCATTTAGGCTGGCAAAGACATCAAAGATCCCTGAGTCTGTTAACCCAGCACTGCCAACTCCTTGCTAAACCATCCCCAAGTGCCACATCTACACATCTTTCAAATACTTGCAGGATGGTGACTCAACCACTTCCCTGGGCACTCTGTTCTAATGCTTGATGACACTTTTGGTGAAGAAATATTTTATAATTTCTAATCTAACCCTTCCCTGACCTAATGAGATTTGTTCCTGATTTCGAATCAGTGCCGTAGGAGACTTAGGACTGTGACTTAGAAGGCTGTCCCCGAAAGCTGTAGCCAGAGGAAATTAACTGAACGAGGGCAGTGTGATGCCTGAACTGTCGGGCAACACTGAATCCCTGCTCACCTTCTAGGTGACACAAGGGACACAAGCAATGGCTTCTTACAGTGCTTGGCAATGAAAGACAACGCAAAACCACCACCGTAAGTGAAAACTACTCATATCTCTCTCTCTAAAAGATTTGCAAGCTACAAGCCTACCTATGTATCTGAGCTGTGTTGAGAAAGACATTTCAATACGAGAGCATCTTTCACCTCGGGAGCTCTCCTATACATAACCAATACATAGTTACATCGTTTTCTGCAATGCTCGGTTCAGTGTTTGCTTCACCACCAACGCAACTTCAAAAACGTGTCGCTTTCCTCGCTTTGTGCCAAAACTCCCAGAATCAGCATGTTTCAAACCTACAAACGACGGCTGTTGGCTGAATTAGCTCCTTTCAAGCCCAACAAAGCCTCTATTTGCGATTCCCATTCCCCTCACACTCTCAATCTGCATAATTACAGCCCTGACACCACCAGGCTCTAATTACACGGCTCACGAGAGGCGCGGCGCCCTGGGCCGGATCCAGCCCGCGGGCGAGGCGGGGCGAGACGCGGTGGGGTGCAGTGGGGGGAAGGCACTTTTCTTTAAACACCCGGGGCTCCCCTCGGAGGTGGTCCCTGCCGCCCTTCCCTGGGGCTGGATGGCGGGGGTGCCGGGCGGCTCTTTGTTCCTGCCGAGTGCGTGTGCGCGGCGCTCGGGCTGCCGGGGTGGGAGGGGATCCCGCCCGCGCCGCCGTTAACGGGAGGCGCAGGAGCGGGGCCGGCCGGGCGGCACAGCGGCGCAGGGCCGGACCCCGGCGCTGCGAGCGGCGCTCCCCGGCGCTCCCGCCTCCCCCGGGGGCCGGGCGCTGGGCGCTGCCCTCCGGCGGCGCGGCGGAGCAGGTGCCGGCGGGCGGCAGCGGGCCGGCAGGATGGAGGCTGCCTTGCTGAAGCCGGCGATGATGGCGGAGGTGAAGGGGAGCGGCGCCGGCTCTGCCGTCAGCGCCGAGCTGGAGGTGAAGAAGCTGCAGGAGCTGGTGCGGAAGCTGGAGAAGCAGAACGAGCAGCTCCGGAGCCGCGCCGCCGCCGCCGCGGTGGCCGCCGGCCCGCCCAGCCCGCACCTGCTGCTGGCCCCGCCGGCGGCCCCGGGCGGGCTGCGCCCCGCCAGCCCCCCCGCCGCGGGCCCGCCGTGCATGCCCAGCCCGGTGCCCACCCTGCTGTGCCCTCCGGAGCCCCTCGCCTACTTCAAGCCCTCGCCCGGGCCGCCGGCAGCTGGCGGCGGGCAAGAAGGCGGCGGCGGTACGGGGGCGGCGGCCACGGTGCTGGACGAGGTGGCGGTGCTGGAGCTGGAGGACGGCTGCGGAGAGGACGAGGATACATGGTACATGCGGCTCGGCCCTGCCCTGCTCCCCGGCCCGGCCCTGCTGTGCCCCCCGGCCGGGCCTCTCGCAGCGGTCTCCCGGCTCTGATTAGCATTAGCCCCCAAATCCACTTGATCTCCTCGCTTAGACTGAAATCTGCTTTTTACTCTCTCTTTTTTTTTTTTTTTTTTTTTTTTTTTTTTTTCCTTCTTCTTCTCTCCATCCCTCTCCAAATCGTGCCGCCCCACCGAGCGGAGGGCCCCGCGTACGAGACGCGGCTCAGGTCGGGGCTTCGCCGCCCGCCTCGCCCGGGGCGTCGCGCCCTCCGTGGGGAACAGAGCTCGTTTTCCACCCCCAGGAATATAGTTCAGATCTCAGCCTAGTTTCAGCCCCGTGTTTACATAAGGAATTAAAAATAGCGGAATTTCGTTCCGGGAAAGCCTTGATCTGAGCAGCGCTGCCTGCTCATCCTAAAATCTCTGCCAAATTGACTCCCATCTTCAGGGATTTGGGAGGGCTTTTGTCTTTTAGACGTTGATCTAAATTGTGTATCTTACGCGCCCATGTAGCTTCAAAAGCCACGGCAGGGTGCTAGGAAATTGAATAAATCGGAAATGAATAGCGAATGGATAGAGCAGAAAATGAAATCGACCTGGACTGGTTAACGTGTGTAACCTGGAATGGTTACATTCCCGTAAAAAGCATCAGAAGGGGGAGACTGCAAGGTAGAGGTATAAGTAGATCAGTAAAGGTGGTACCTCAAAACCTGTTTCAGCAGCGTGGGCGAAAATCGCGGGAGCAGTGCTGGAATACTGTCTTGGCTGTGTAACCATGTGGAACATCATTGATCCTCAATTTGTTTTCAGGTGTCAATGGCAGTATATAGATTACCTTTATTTAAATAAGTTTTAGAGTATCTGTCTGTGTTTCCATGTAGCTTTCCTTTTTGTGAGGTTAGTTTTTGAATCAAGCTATAAGTTAATGTCACATGAGAATAAAATGTAGTATAAAGAAGTTGGGATATGTTCAGATATCCTTAATTTTGGTCGAAGATAAAACGTTCAAAAATTAATCTAAATATCTGAAATGTTTCTGATTGTTGTATGTGTTTCGTGGTACACAATACCATGTTTCTGAAAATGGCTTTTGAGAATCATGTACAAATTGTCTGGAAATTTTTTTGAAGCAACAGTGTTGCTTCATTGTGTGTGTGGTTGGTCTGCAGGGCTGGTTTGGGTTTGTCAGTCCAGACTTAAATCAAATTTTACATCGGTTCTAACTTCTGGCTTTCCTAGCATTAAAGAGTGTCACTTTTTTTTGATAATGTCTTGTTAAACAAAATGCTTTCCTTGTTTACATTTTGCAGTGGTAGTCAGTCATCGTTATGTGCCATAGTGAAATTTCTGATTTTATTTCCTCCCTGGGAGCAATCCTAGATTTGGGTGCCAAAATTTACCTTTATGTCACACATATATGGGTCCACAGGCAGAATTTCACGACATTTCAGTTCGTGATATGTTAACAAATTATTTGTTAACAAATTTATTGCATTAGGAGTAGTTGTTTTAGCTGTTGAATGTTTTTAGTTCAAGGATAAATCTCTCTCATTGTCCATGAAAGGTCAGGTGTGTGATGCCAGTTGCTTGGGGCTTTTTTGTAATCTCAGTCTTTAAAGCAAACTGCTACCTGGAAAGCCAAAGCCTTCAGTGCATATCCTAGTTCTTGATTAGTAATTTTAGGCCTTAAATTACTAGTTTTTAAAACCTTTGGGGTTTTGTGTTTTGCTTGCCTTTCTTTGTTTTTGTTTTGTTTTTGACTGCAGTTACAAAAAACCCCAAAACCAACCAACCTTGTCGAGCTGCAGACAAGTCAAACTACTTTGTGGTGTTTGGCTTTTTACAGGAAGATCATCAGTCAGATGTTTAGCTTTTGAAGCACTTCTGCAGGTTAACAGGAAACCTGAACGCTTTTCTTTCCTTTGCTTTTTTGTTTTCTCAGTACCATTTTTTTAAATGTGTGGTGAGACACTGCAGGAAGTCTGGGGAAATGAGTCCTCAGAGCAATTCAGTAGTTGATCTCTGCTGGGTTTGCTGAGAGAGAAAGATAGCAATTGCAGTGAGGATATTTGTTCCTTGTGAACTGGATGGACAGTGCTGATTGACTTCAAAGGCAAAGAACTCCATGGTGCAGACGCTGGAAAACAGCTGCTCTGGTGGGACTTGGGTAGCTCTTGAGCCAAAACGGTGATGGTGAAAGGCTGCTGCTGTTGATGACCCCTTGAGGGGCAAAATCCTGTTTAGTTTTTGGTCTTGCCTTTCACTCCTCCTTTGTACAGGCCAGATCCCTTTATGGTGTGTGAAGTGTTTTTCTGGTGCTTAGAGAATCTGGCTCTGGGTGTCCCTAGCCCCACGTCTCGGAGGTGGTCAGGCCAGGGAGCTGTGAGTCCGAGTCTTGTCCAGCAGACAGGAATAGTTTGCTCCCTGGAAGATTTGCACTCTCCCAGGTGAGTTGGCATCTGCTGTGCCTGCTAAGCAGCCAGGGCGACAGCAGCAACCCAGATCTCAGCCTCAAGAATTCTCCCATGAAATCTGCTTTGAAAGCTGCTTTCCTAATGTGCAACTGATCAGTTGCCAACTCTTGTCTGAGAATAATGCACGTACGCTACCTTTTTTTGCATATGTGCTTTTTCTTTTCTGCTGGTGTTGAATGCTGAAAGTAGATTTTCAGTGTTTCTCATTGAATGTTTTATAATCATTACAAATATGACTTGGACAACATCTGGTTCATCTGTGTGAAGATAATCAGATGCTGAAATTATCTAAATCTCCAGTAAATTTAAGTATAGGGAAAAGCAAGAGCACCTTTGGTGTGTGTACAGCACTTAATACATTTGAACATTTGGACATCTGGCATGTCCAAACTTTGTTTGGACATGCCAGACTTGTAGAAGTGATATTTTGCCACCTATTTTTCTGAGGAGGGAGGAAAGAAAACGGATGTAAACTCTTCTACTTCATGATATATTTCTTTTTATTAGATATCTGCTTGCAGGGCTTTAGATTTTATGAATTATTAGTGATCTAATAGGAAAGTGAGTGTACAAAAGCAAACTTAGCAGTATTGCATATCTTGCTGATACTTCTGTGTGTTTTGGTTAAGGTTGTACGTCTTGCCTACCAAGACTCGCACTCCTCAAGAGAAATCACTGAGTCCTCTGCAGTGGTGCAGACGTGTTCTGGATCATCCAACTCCTGAGATAGAAGCTGCAAAACGTTCCCTATGCTTTAGATTGGAGCAAGGTAATCCTATTTTGTTAATTTTGTTATTAGGAGATTGGCATTTTTGGTCAGATGTTTCACTCCTCTTTGGCGTTTGTACAATTTAGCAGGCTTTACATATGACAGACATGTAGTTTCTTCATATGTATGTAAGTCTTCATTACATTTCTAACGTTCTTCATTACATTACTAACAAATTATTGGATTTTTTCATTCCTGATCATGCAGTTTTTAAAGTATTTGCCTCCTTTGTTATCCATTTTTTCTCCTTCACAACTTGTTGTTCTAACTTGCCAGTTTTCATCCAGGGCTTAAAATAGAGGATCTCCTGCTAAGGAAATACTGATGCTAACTTTACTATTGGTATATCTGTTGGGGTTTGAAAAAGGGTGCTTTTCATTTTTTGTTAAGTCAGAATTATCGTGGGGCTATAAATCTTTAAAGGCATATTTGTCAGCATATGATGTAGTGTTAGAACTTTGCTAAGGTTAGCACCCACCAAGAAGAGCTGTAAGTGCTGTTTTGTTGGCCTCTCTGTAATCTCAGGTACTGGAATCTGTCTGATGGCTGATCAGTGCTGGTGAACTTGTAGAGTTCTCTGCGTGCTCTGCCTTTTGTTTTAAATAAATACCAGACAGCACTTTCCTTATTTTCTTACCATCTGGGGTCTCATTAAGATTGTATTAAGTGTCGCTGAAGAAAGCGGTTAAGGGAGGATATTAAGGTTTATAACTCACTAGGAAAGAAGAGGAAAATGAACAATACATGAACATGACAGAAGAAGGAATAAAGCTAATGACAGCATGAACATATGGCTGTATAAGTTAGCTACAGCCATCATTAAGAGAGATTGAGCGTGTTCCTGTATGCTTCGGAGGATATGGGTAGCTGGATAAGTCTTATCCAAAATCAAATGTTTAAGTGAGTCAGGCTCTGGAGGCATTGGCCTCTTTGCATTGACTATAAAACATAATTATTGATCTGGAAATACTTAGTTGAGCCTATTTGCCTCAAGTTACATGGGCCAAACTGTGGTTTTTATATTGGTAATCATCTCATCTAGTTTTAGGGTGGACTTTGGCTTGTTAATTGGGTGTCTGAGTTCTGGTGTCTGTAGGGTGAGCTGAGTGTCATGTTTGATTATCAATGGAAGATGTGTGTGTAGAGTCAGAGCAACCTGGGGAGCTGCTCAGGTGACAAGATTTAGATGTTGACTGTAGAATGAATTTAGTAGCTCTCTCGAGTCCACTGACAGTAGAGGGTGCTTGGCTCTCAACCTCACATGCTTACCTGAAGGTGCATCTGTGTGGGGTTGGGCGTCGGAACAGTGGAGTGCAGTCTGGTGTAGGAGCTCTGCTCAGATTGGCCCACATAGGTAACTGGTGCCCTTGGAGATGGCCTGTTAGCCTGTTTCCTATTCAGGACAGATGCAGATCTTGCAAAGGTCCTGAGCTTTTACTGTCCTTTAATGACACCTTGGCCTCCCAAGGGCCTGTCAGGTGGGACAGGCACGTCCAAGTATGGACAATTTAGTCAAGCCTGTAATGTCAGTGTAGAAAAAAGCAAGAGGACTGCATGACCTTTTTTTCCCCTTAAAAGGATTTATTTAAATTGAATAGGCAATAAAGGTTTCAAATTAAAATCACTCTATGGTTATCAGTTCAGTCTCTCAGCAGAAGTCACAGCAAATGGCATGCCACCGATGAGTTATGTTGACGAGTTGCTCTGATCCATATGTTCTGCTCATGGAAATTGGCTCATGAATTTCCTGAGCTCTGTAAAAAGTTTCTGAGAAATTATATGCCATAAATAAAACCTATTATGGGAGCAGTATTTTCAAGGAGTGAATAGACTTGTATTTATACTGCAGCAATTCTTTGGTAAAATTGCTTTAATTAATAATTCAGTTAAGACGTCACGCTAGTATTTCTAATATTTTCTTCTAGCACCTGTACCTTTGTAAGTAATACATAATGAGCAAACATTATCCTTTTTACTCTTAAATTTTTAGAAGTTGATTTTACTATATTTATTTACTCCTTAGTTTTTCAACCACATGTGAGACTTGTGTAAGAATCTAATAATTTGGTTTGTGAAGTACAGCAAACTTTCTGTAACCTGACTTCCCCATGTTTTGTTTTGCAGGGCACTCGATCAGTATTATACATGTATAAATATGTACACCTAGTCCATCCTGATTTTATAAGTGACTCACTAAGTATGGCATTCCTCTTTCTGGTACTAAACTTTCAAACTTTGTACTTGTAAGTTGAATGCTGTTTTCCCCTTTTAGCCATATGCCTTGCAAGGGCATTTTCAAGGTATTTTGAAATCTACTTGTGCCTCTTCTGCTTGGCTCTGAATCAATGGTTAACACTGAAGTACTTGAGAACTATTAAATGAGTAGTCAGAAAACATTTATAGTGTACCAGAGTGTGATTTCTGAAATGGCTTATTGATAGAATTCACTTAGTGCATGGTGCATTAGCCAAAAATGAAACCAGTTTAGTTATTACAGCTCTTAAGATACCAGAGTGCACATGAAAATAAAAAGCAATAAAAACTGATTTTTGACTGCAAAGTCAGCATATCTGAATAAGTTCATGCAGAGAGAAGAGCTGTGAGAAAAAAAAAAAAATTTGCCAGTCTTATTTTTGAGTTGTAACTAATTCTAATTTTCTTACTGAGATTTTTAATCCTGCCCTCATTTATTCCTGCTCCTGAGAAATTTTCTTACTGCATTACATCCTGGTTTTGATAAAAGTTTTCATTTGTTTTTTGAAATATCCCAGCATTAGGGTATCTCCTAACAAGGCTAAAAGCCTTGTGAGAGACTTCTGCCAAAGCAGTCCAAGGCAGTGAAATAGTTTAACAGCTGCTTGGTCTTTCAGGCCAGAAAATCACTTGAATGGTGGTATTTTCTTTTCACTTTGCTGTGCTCACCAGCCTGTTTCTTTTTTAGTGAAAATGACTGTTTTGAGTATTTCATGGTGGAAGTTAAAAATTCATTTTGGCATAAATCCTTAAGGTTTATTATAAGCACAGAGGTGGTCTCCAGCAGGCGGTTCTTCTGTGAGCCACTCTGAGAACTTGGGCAAGCTTCTCAACATTCCTCTGGTCTACCACTAAGTAGGTAAAGCTTTTATAATGTTTATAATGAACTGGGCTGATTACAAACCCTGTTTCTGTGGATTAAGCATGCTAGCTTTAAGGAGGATGAAAGTTTAATGTAACCTCCTATGATAGGATCTTTGCTTGGAATCGTGCCTGTTTTCCATGAGCAGTTACAGTGTTGAGGTAACATTTGTTTGCTGTTTGTTTCAGTTGTTTTATCTCTTTAGGCTGGACTGGATCGTATCTTTCTTCTTACTCTTTGTCGGTTACTTTTGTTTGAAACCTTTCTGGTTTGTTATGCTCACAGCAGTTCTCTGTATATTGTAGGGTCAATTAGCTTGCTGTTTGGATTTTAGTCTTGCTGTCTAGTTTATTTTTTTAGGTTAGTTGAAGTGAACAGGGCCACCTAACAGTCTTAGTGGTGTGGTAGAGCCTTTTCTGTGTTTCCTTAGCAGTAGTTGAAGATGTTGGGACGTGCATTAATTCAGTGAGCAGAGATGTGACATGTAAACTTCTTAGGTGATGCAGATGGGTATAACCCCTCTGAAAGTGGTGAGATGGTGGTGACTGACACCCTGGCTGAAGATACCCTGCCTAACTTCACTTCTGAAAAAGCTCTGAAGCAGGCAAGTGGATAAACTGAGGACTTAAGAGGCTTAGCAAGGAGTCACTCTGTAGGAGCTCAGCTTTTATGCAGGGCCTCCAAGTGTAACTCATCCAATTCAGCCTTCCACGTAGGAAGCTCTTCTTTATTGGGGAAGGTGAAATATCGGCTAGATTCAGAATTTGGCTTAGATGAGTTCTTATTCAGAAATACCATTTCAGATGTTTAAGAACAGTAGGCAGCTGAAGTCTGTAGGTTTTGAAGTTAGCTGTAGTAGTTCATAGTTTAAAGAGGTAAACTGTTTTCTTTCTTAAATTATTATTGTGCTTCAGGATGGATGCTGTTACGTCATCCGTGGATGACAAGATTTGTTGTGAAACAGATCCATTGCAGTTTCTCTGCTTTGCTTGAGATTCTACAAAACAAAGATTCTCATTAGTGGAATTTTATTTCTTGTGGTGGATCCCAATGTTACTTACTAGTTAAGGTTGATATCCAAACATACAACATACCCAGAAGAAGAACCGTGAAGAGACCAAACAAAATTATTTCTTTTGATAGTACTGTGTTCTTTTTACCTATTAAAAAAAATCTGGTAGCTTACAGCTGGTAGGGCCCAAGGCAGAAGGTTTTACCTGGATTTGCAACTTGCAGCTTATGCAGGAAGAGGCAGTGTAGTCTCCCCTTATCCTCTCTTCCACTTTCCACGGGTTCATAGTGAAATAATGAGTCTTTAATATTTGGAATATACTTCAACTGTTAAAAACCACTGTCATAGGGATTTTTTATGCTGTAGTTTATTAACACCAGAAACAAATAGAAAATACTGGGGAGGGGGGGGAAGTGAACAAAAGTTTTTATCTTGTATGCTTGAGGTGTATCCAGTGCTGATACAAGGGCAAGGTGGATTTTTGGTTTGGGTTTTTTTTTCTAAGGTGGATTTTTTAGTTTTAGTTTTATTTGCTATCCATTGATGGATCAGATTTGTATGTTGTGATACTTAACTGGATTAATAAAATTTCATGTAGCTTTCTTGCTCATATATAATGCAGATTAGTTCTAGGTAAAATGTTTTTGAAGCAGGAAGTAATAATGTGCAGAAAGTTGTTGTTTCCATCATAAATAAAATGTCTAAAGCTCTAGAAAGAATGAAAAAAGTAGCATGAGAGGTTTGGTTCCTTTTTGTGTATGTTTCTGAGAATAAAAAAATATAAGCAACCATAGCTTTTATCCACTTCTTAGCACCTTTTGAGGAATGTGGCATTTTGGAGGTGAGGCTGTTTGGGCATCTTCTGCTGCAGTA